TGGTTTAAGCTGGTCCTTTGCTGGTTTATGCTGGTCCATTTGTTGGTTTATGCTGGTCATGTGCTGGTTTATGCTGGTCATGTGCTGGCAGAGGACCAGCATAAACCTGCAAAAACCAGCAAAAGGACCAGCATAAACCAACAAAGGACCAGCTTAAACCAGCAAAGGACCAGCTTAAACCAGCAAAGGACCAGCATAAACCAGCATCCCAGCATCAAAACATACCTAACCAACATATGCTGTTTTTTTCAACAGGGTTGTCACTTTATTACACATTTACATACATATCACACACACACAAAAGTTTTGTTGAAGAAGTTCTTAAGATAATTCTTGAGATAGTTGCGAAGTTGACGCGACGCCTCAGATAGGCCAATACCAAAGACTGTAGAACACCTTCTATAATATGCCTTAAAAGGACTTTGATAATACTGACAACAATTATTTTAAAATGTAGAAATTAACTGAATAGTTGCGCACACTGACTCATTCAATTAATTTTGCTTGGTAAAATATAATTAGGCAGTGTCATAACAGTCAATTTAATCATCCATCACTCTAGTGTAGGCGTTATTGTTCATTACAGTTGCATGTACGGAGAATGGCTTTTCTTCCGCGCGCTGAACAGCCTACATGTAGGCAGGATCAAGTATTTGAGAAGGGCTCTTGGTTGTCGTGAGATCATTCGTCGTCTGTCCAGTGGCTGCAGTTGGTCGCATGAACGTTTCCCCCCAGACTCGAGACTAAAGGATGAAATGAGGTGCAGAGCTGAAGAGCTGAAGGAATGGGCGAGTAAAGACAGACGAAAGACGCACACGGAGAGCGCGGTGAGCCATCTGACTGACTCTACGACAAGATCCGAGTGAAGCCTGACCATCACAAGACGCGCGAATTCGGATCACATTTAGATCAAGCGGATTTCATTGAAACGAATGGTGTGAAAGGTAAGACTGCTGTCGGATTCCGTCTGGTAGATTCTCGCGCTTAATTCCATTATCTGATATGCGTTTGTTAAAACAACAATTCGAGAATTATTCAAGATAAAGTCTAGAAAATATTATGCGATATATTTGTAACGGTTTTGCTACTTTTCTTTGTATTATGCTTTTTTTTTTTACATTTATCTATAAGAGAATTTAAAGTATAATTTTGGAAACCCATTTTTTGTTTAATGAACCCCTTGCACAATAAACTTCAAAGTGTGTTTAATTACACACGCACGCACGCACACACACACATTATATATATAATTTTCTCGTAAAATATTTCCCCAACTGACGTAGCCTAAAGCAGAACGGATGACTTTAAAATGTTCTTAGAAACAAATAGTTTATATAGATAAGTATGTGTTCTATTATTAATATTATTATGTATATATAAAAGTATATTATTATTATTATTATTGCTCGTACAATATTCTATCTAAATGAGAAAAATAAATAAAAAATCTTAGGGATGTCCCAGACACCACTGATGCCCAAAGAATATACTTGTATCCTACATCTATTTTTAAATTTAGCGCGTTTCATCTTTACTGTGCTGTTGAGAATAGAAATGAAGCCAAGTTGAGCGCTTGATGTTTATTTCAGGATTCAGCATTCAGGAGCAGGTGAAACAGAGAGAGAGAGAGAGTGAGAGAGAGGGGGGGGGGTCAAAGACAGACATGCAAGTGAATTCAACCATGCGTTGTGGGCATGTTAAAAAGGCTTTTCTTTTAGTACAAATATTTGACTGTAACTTAATGCTTAGATCCTTAATAGCATGCTTTTTAATCTAATTTTACAGCATTAAAAGCTTGCTTTGAGACAAATTACAAGTGAGGTGCTGTGATGGACAGCCATGTGCTATCCAAGCAAGCTTTAATTTAAACAATATTCCATTTAAAAAGGCATATCATGACCAGAGCTACAACAACAATAGAGAGACAGAGAGAGAGAGAGAGAGAGAGAAGAAGCCATCTGAGGAAAAACTGACTTATTGAACTACATACCTTAGTCTGCAGCTAACCAGCATAATCTCTTGACCCTAATTTAAACCACTGTTTAAGTTAAGTGGGGGTGCCCTCTTGAACAAGCCCGGGCGGCTTCCTCTCTAAACACACCTCAGCCTTCTTATCAGACATGATTGACAGGAGCCGAAGTGGCCTCAGGAACAACAATGGTCAGGAAGCACTTCTCACTGGCTGTCCATCAAAACTCAACAAAGTCTTTACTGTTCTTGACCCGCAGAGACTTTCTTCCCTCCCTCTCTGTTTCTGAAATCCCCCTGAGGCTACACAGCTTCAGTGAATTCCTCCACTCACTTTCTGCTTCTCTCACTCCGTAGGTGCAGGGCAAGCATCACTCACACGGCTATAAGGATGTGGGTGTCGGGATCGAGGATTAAGAAGCCATCTGAGGAAAAACTGACTTATTGAACTACATACCATAGTCTGCAGCTTACCAGCATAATCTCTTGACCCTAATTTAAACCACTGTTTAAGTTAAGTGGGGGTGCCCTCTTGAACAAGCCCGGGCGGCTTCCTCTCTAAACACACCTCAGCCTTCTTATCAGACATGATTGACAGGAGCCGAAGTGGCCTCAGGAACAACAATGGTCCTCAGGAAGCACTTCTCACTGGCTGTCCATCAAAACTCAACAAAGTCTTTACTGTTCTTGACCCGCAGAGACTTTCTTCCCTCCCTCTCTGTTTCTGAAATCCCCCTGAGGCTACACAGCTTCAGTGAATTCCTCCTTCCCTCCCTCTCTGTTTCTGAAATCCCCCTGAGGCTACACAGCTTCAGTGAATTCCTCCGCTCACTTTCTGCTTCTCTCACTCCGTAGGTGCAGGGCAAGCATCACTCACACGGCTATAAGGATGCGGGTGTCGGGATCGAGGATTAAGCTGTGGTGTCCGCTTATCTCGCTGGCACTGATTCAGTTTCTTACCCCTGTTTCGGCTCAAGGTAACTGCTGTCTTCATGGTTTTTAATTGGTATTTGCTCTGGTTTATTGGCTTTTGTGTGGTTGTGTAAAATATGAGATGATGTCCTAATCATTCAATGCATAATTTAGTCATTTGATGGCAACGGCAGGGTTACATTTGATTGTGCTTGGAATAAAAAGAAACATTTGACCCTTCATGCACCTTCACATCTTCTAAGAGGACTCATTTCAGTGTAATGCCTCTCAGTAAGAAGGTAAAAAGAGCTAATGTGAGTCTTGAGGATTTTAGATGGGATAGAGCTGTGGAAAAGCATTTAGTCGGACATCACAGGGGACCACAATGATAATATCCCTCAAGGCAGCTTAAAGGTTCTGTTTGGACGACAAAGTTCGGATTACTCTCTGGCTTTTTTGCCTTCACTCTTCTTCCCAGATCAGCACTTGTGTGATGGGCATGTGTAGTCTTTAAATTTATGCCATCTATACATCTTTTCATTCCTCAAATCACTAAAAACTGTTGGTGGGATTTTAAACAGCTCAGTGGTGAAGCTGAACAGGAATAAACAAACCAAAGACTTCTAGTTAAAGGAATATTCTGGGTTTAATACAAGTTAAGACGAATTGACAGCACTTGCGGCATAATGTTGATTACCATGAAAATGAATTTCGACTTGTTGCTGCTTTTAAAAAAGCAAAAATCTGAATTATAATGAGGCACTTACAACAGAAATTAATGGGGCCAAGCAATACATGTTCAAATATTAAGTTGTTGATTCCTAAATCACATTCTCTCAAACTATGTTTATGCATGATTTGTAAACGAATACATTTTGATGTTTTCTTCACAAAGCTAGCTTCATATATGGCTTTTCTGATGTAGTAAACTTACTTGGTAGCTCTCCTGGTCCAGCATTGCAATGGGGAGCATTCAAATATGAGTGCTGCTGTGAAACATAGGCCTAAGTCACAGAACTCAATAAAAAAGCTAATAGACTTGTAGAAGCAAGCTAAAATGACAGAAACATTATCGGCTAGGTTTAGTGTAGGGTTTGGTGTAGGTGGTAAGTTAATTTCAAAACTTCTGCGGTACATACAACAACCAACATAAAAAGTCCTCCGGAGAGGACTGAATGTGCTTTTAGTGCCACTAACTGTACATTTCAATTTAGAATGTACCGCAAAACATGCAGAATGCAACAAAATATCATTTTGCAGAAATGTTGCCACAGGCACGTTTTTCCTGGGGTGAGATTAGTGCTTTTATAAAATGATTAGCTTCAAATTTTTGGCCCGAGTGCCTCGCCACTGTTTAAATTTTTGCATTTTTTAAAGACAAGTAATGAGTTGAAATGACTTTTTGTTGTAATTAACGCTATACCACAAATGTTATCAGTTGAGCTTAACTTAGCTTTTCGAACCTGCCATATTTCTTTAACACGACACAGACGACATATAGAAAACATTGCACTGTGGGTACTTGATGTGTTGGAGCGAAAATGATTGCAAATGCTGACAATGCCCTGCTGAGAATGAATGGGTAGAAGCAGTCAGTGATACAAAGCGGTGTGATGAGACATTATGAAAGCGTTTTGGAAGGGTCTGTATTGTGTGTGTGATGAAGTTGTGGAAAAATGAAACAAAAGAACTGAAGGTCAACCTTAAACAAGCTGTCTGAAACTCTCAAGCAGTCAAACGCACAAAACAATTCACATTCACAGTTTTAACTTAATTGTTGTTTGGATTTACACAGGCAGTGCGTCTCATTACAAAACCTTTAACTAAGCACTTTGTCTAGATAATTTATTTTTACACATCGGTGAGATGGGAAATGTAGCCAAGTCTCTCGGATTTTCATTTGGTGCTGCATAATTCCTGCTGCTCAGATCTATGTAAATTCACATCACATCCAACAGACTTAGATGATTGTAAAGTGCAGAATGTTTCTGACTATTCCCGCTAAGTAGGCATTAATATTTTAATTCCCTCAACAGCGATTTTTGAGTTTGTGGAAAATAAACGTTCAAAACAAGTGCGGAGCCTTCTGACAGGTGAGTAATTGGAAGCACGGTGATAAAAGGACGCAGTGGATTTTGGAGTGAGTGTCTCCAAAAGGATGAAAGATATCCACATCAAAGGCCTGTGGATTTGTGGGTGCGCGTTTCTAATATACAGACACAGGACCTCCTGCTTATATTTCTCTCGTTTCAAGTTACAAGTCAGCACTTGTCACCCTTTAACCACCATGGCCGTTGTTCCTTACCTCCCCCTCAATCTCTACAGGGGTCTATTTGACACAAAACCTTTAATCACCAAAAGCCAGGAGTCGTGGATGCCTAGGTGTGCTAAGACAGTTTTCCAAGGACTATTTTATGAAACTGCCATGATACCGCTTCCAGAAATCTGTTGTTTTTTCATGCTGATGAATGTATTGTGTTCTTCTTCATTATTCATGGCTCGTGAGCAGAGTTTTAGCATCTCAACATTGTTGGAATTACTTTCTGAGTTGTATTTCGCATAGATTTTTCATCTCCGTCATGGTGTGCAGTACTGAGCTGGAACAACAACACACTTTTCCTCTCTAAATCTGTGGTTACTTTATACGCAGATGATCCGTTGTGAAAAATGTTCCAAATTCTCTGGATGGCTGGATCTATATCAGTGCTCATTTCATCCCACTCACATGAATGACTAAGAATTTTCACTGACACTTTCTATGAATAGAGTACACTTTGGTGTTCCATAACTTTTTTTAAAGCTATAGAGGTACATATACTGTACCATTTTTTTTTTGGTGAACTATTACATATAATAATTATTAGATAAGTTAGATTCAGTTAGATTAGATTTTAATTCAACAATTACAATCATACAAAAATGTCATTTAGGACATTACTGATATGTAGTTAAATAGGAAACTATTTTAATTATTATTTTTAATACATTTTCATTCCAAAGGTTAGGGTCGTAAGATTTTTAAAAATGTTTTTGAAAGAAGTCTATAGGCTGCATTTATTTGATTAAAACTATTGTAAAAACATTAATATTGTGAAACATTATTACAATTAAATATATATATATTTTATATTTACTCATGCTATCACAAATAAATTATTTACAGCCATTATTCCAGTCTTAAGTGTCACATGATTCTTCAGAAATCATTCTAAAATGCTCCAGAAATATTTTGTATTACTATCAATGTTGAAAAACAGTTGTGCTAATAAACATTCCTTTGTAAACTGTTATACATTTTATCAAGATTCTTTGTTCAAGTTCAAAAGAACAATATTTATTTATTTTAATGCATCATTGCTGAATAAAAGTATTATTTTCTTTAAAAAATATGGACCCCACACTTTTGAATGGTCATTCATTTAGTAATTAATATTAGTGATTTGTCAATTTAATGTAGCTGTTCCATCTATACATCCTTAAATGAATGAATGAATGAATTGTAAAATTGTGACACCAAAAAAAAAAAAAAAAATTCCCATCACGCTATGGACCATTTCGATGATGTAAAGACAAGTAAATAATATAATTAATTTGCAAAACTTTATGTAATATCTGTAAAGCTCCACCACTCACTCTTGCTACCCAATTTATTTTAAGAAAAGATCAAGCAAAGCTTTTTCATTCATTTATGGGAAATATAAGTTGATCATTAACCACTGTAACAAACAATTGGTCCCAAACTAGCTAGTCCTTAGTGAGTAACAGATTCATTTAGCCTAATCTTTCAACCCTATTACTTGAAACCTTGTTTCCTGCTGGGTAGTTTCCACGTTTGAAACACAGAAGCACTGAAACGTGTTTCTATAAACACTGATTGATGGAAATTAATCGTAGTTCCCCAAAGACACATAATGGACAGAGTGTGGTGTGGGTGTCCAATCTGTCCATGAGAAGGGAGATGTTCACCCCACAGGAACCCCAGCAGTGTTCCGTTTCTCAGGTTGGTGCACCTAGATCAGTTTTATGTCTTATCTCTGTCTCCTAAACGCCCGTTTCCAATAGTATTGACCTCTGGGCTTTATTCTTACATATTTTCCTTTTCTGTTTGTGCCAACATGGTTTCTTCATATATACTTTATAGCACCTCGGTTTCTTTCTCTGGGCAGAACTGTGGCATGCGCACAACATAAGGACAGAGAAACATTGATTAATCAATGTTTCGTTACCTTACGTGGGATATGTGATGTTTGGGTGTGGTGGTTTCTCATAGGTCTAACACGCAACAACTGATTATGGGTCAGAAGGATTTGTTTACATCTGTAGAAAAATATTTAGGATTGAATGATGAAAGACATCCCCTAATCAGTTGTTTATGGCTATAGATACTCATAAACTGAAGTAATATGCTTTGTCGAACTGTTTAAGGCTTGTCTTCCTTTTGAACCTCACTGGTAATTAGGATGCTTTAGAAAATCGCTGAAACTCTTCTGACCTTTAAAAGTCACATTCTCTTCTCAATTACCTTGTAAGTTTTGTCATTTTTAATGAGACAGTAACTCTCTGTTCATGATCTTATGTGCATTATGTCGGATGGACAATTAAATAATAATATTAAATCACCTCACATTTCCTAATGTTAAATACCTTACAGATTATTATAACCTTAAATTGGACATACTATAAACAAAAGAGTGAGAATATGACTTAAAACATACCTTTCCTTGGATTTTTATCCAAGTACAATTTAAACTCTCATTTGAAAAATATTTTAAAGATTTATTTGATCATAATTTTCAATTTTTCAGTTTATAATTCCATTCTTTCTTTGCAGTTCCAGCTCCAAGAAGACTTCGATTTAAAGTTCTGAGTGCAGGCAGGCTACTTGTCTCATGGAAGGAACCAAAAGGAGAATATGATGGCTACAAATTTATATATAATAGTGAACCAGGTAAGAAACAGTGTTTTTATTTATTTTGTTTCTCAGTCAATATTAATAAATGTAGTGGTACTATATTGTATGCATACAAGTTTGCCTTCTGTTAATCTGTTATTAATGAAATACAGTCTCTGTTTTATTCCCTTTGAGCTTCACTTTTTCTCTAAATGCATTCAGATGTAGTGTCAAACTTCTCTCTGTGAGCTTCAGCAAATGTATTTGTTAACCTTGCCAGATCAGAAGGACTCTTTGTTTCTTTACATATTTGACAATAGTCCTTGTCTGGGGCTTTTATACGGCTCCTGATAACACATAAACAGCCAAGGTCACTCTGGTTTTATGTAGACCAAGTGCACTGGCCATCAGTTCTGCAAACTCACCCCTTTGTTAATCACTCACAACCCCCTTTTCTGGGGCAACAATGAGCCATGTCCAAACTCATTGTTTTTTACAGCACATTCCCGAGCTCTGTGTATTTTAGGTCTGGGTCCATAGAATAGATATTCATCAGTCGGTTCAGACGTTCCCAACAGATGGGAAAAGCACTCATTTCAATTATAATTATAGCAGCTCCTTTGCTGCATTTCTATGTGGAAAGTGGCATTAATGGGCATGGTAATTCTCTCTATTGGCCAGAATTGAGGTATTGAAGTGATGGAACAGGGTTGGATGAGGACAGGTGATAGTTTGCATCAGAGCGGGTCAATGTGACTCTTTTGTGATTGAGGTGAGGAATGTCTGGCTGCAGTACCTGGTCAGACTCTAGGAGGTCAGATAGAGGTTACTGTCTGATCCAGCTGCTTGTATTTATGGTATCTGATGTCAGCTTGGCAAAGGTCCAAATCTCACAACAACACTGGCATCCTTAAAAAGGGCTGCAAACCAAAAAATGGCAAATCTCCTAAAATTAAACATATAACAACAAATGACTGCTTTAGTTGAAAATTTCCAAAAATGTATTTAAAATGACCATAATGATGCTGATAAAGTTAACTTGTATTTTATTCAGTTTATGTACTGCATTAATAAATTCATTAATGTCCAATTTAAATATTAAAAAAAAAAAAATCTTTTATCCAGGAGACTAGATGTTAGAAGAGGCTGACAGCCTAAAATCACCTATCGTTACTAAAATGACTGATCAGAATGAATATTCAAATGATGCAACATTGTTTGCTTCCATCCAAAATGGAACCGAAAACAGCTAAATTAAATTTACCTTTTTTGCATATACTGTACAACTAATAACTGTCAGAGGTTCAAACTAATCAGCTTTCAGTATCATCTTACTGCATCATCAAACCTGCTAGTATTTAAGATAACAAGTAAAGAGAAACAAATTTAAAGGGGTTATATGATGCTGCTAAAAAGAAAATTATTTGGTGTATTTGGTGTAGTGAAATGTGTTTATGCGGTGTAAAGTAAAAAAAACACATTATTTTCCACATACTGTACATTATTGTTTCTCCTCTATGCCCCGCCTTTTTGAAACGCGTCATCGGTCTGAAAAAGCGAGGTGTGCTGTGATTGGCCAGCTATCCAATGCGTTGTGATTGGCCGAATACCTCAAGCATGAGACGGAAATGTTACGCCCCTCACATACTGTTGATGCCATGTCCGGTCGGAGTGACAAGACAAAAACATTAAAACCCATTACAAACGAGGCATTCCTCTTTTGGAAGACCAAACAAAGTAGTTTCGCTTTCACAACGAAGCACACAGCGTCTTCACGACATGGCTGCAGCGTCAACAATACTACAGTGAGACTAAAAGTTACGCCTTCTTTCTTTGCGTGAACATTTGGGCGGCGTTATGCAAATCTTCCCACATAGTGAGGTAGATATGTGGGGGCGTGTTAGAACGAGCCTTTTTAGGTAGGTGTGGCTGACTCTGAACTTTTATAAAGAATATATCTTTGGATTTGAGACTTTAGTCTTTGTAACTTTACAGATCTTCTTTATGCACCAAGAGCTTGTAACACTCCAAAGAGAAAGGAAAAATTGAAATCGCATCATATGACCCCTTTAACAAAATTATTGATTAAATTAATGAAGGATCTCAAAATAAGTGAGGCTTAATGACAGGCTATCTATAGCTATACTAAAATAAAGAAATGGAGGATGGAGTTTCTCTAAACATTGAGTGCGTAGATGGAATAGAGCTGTGCATGTATTTGTAAATGTTTAAAATGATCATAGTCTGTATACGGTGCTGCAAGATTTGTTCCGTTGATTTACTATATTAGCAATTGTTGTGTTATTGATAAGGGAGATTATATTGTGTCATTAATCATCGCGCCTTTGAACCTGCTGCAGTCTTTTATAGGTTTGATCAATATTAATTTACATATCGTCCTCTCTGAAAAATTCCCTTATGGACAGCGACTGAAAGTAAGTTACATGAACTTGGATGATTTAGTTGTACTTGGTGTTAATTTGTTCCAACTTGATGCTGTAATTCTAGTTAACAATTGTATTTGCCTCAGTTAAATATCACTCTGTGGTCTTGTAAGAATATTTCTATTTGTTTGGAGAAAATGTTGTGTTAATTATGCTTCCCAAACAAAGTTAACAATGTTAAACAATAACCAATATTTGCTTAATTTATTTTTGTTGAATTATTTGTATTAATTTATACAACAAAACTCTGAGAAAATGGTGCTATTTACATATGGCCATATAGTATTACCAACCAGTCTGAAAATAGAATAATTTTACAAACTAAACGTGTGTATATATATATATATATATATATATATATATATATATATATATATATATATCTTGTATATATATCATAATAACAGTTCAGCACAATGACGTAAAAAAAAAAAAAGTTACAGCTTCAAGTGATTCACTTACTGAGTGAATCTGATTCAAAGAACAAACTAATGAGGCTGTGTTACATGAATCTTTTTCATTGACTCATCAAAAGAACCATTCAAAAGTAATTTTTTTAATGAATCGAACATCTCAGCTTGTCCTGTTCTTGTGCAGGAAAGGCTGACCCTAGCGAGATGATGATATCACACAAAACATTCAGATTCACACAAAGTGCTCTTAGTGCTCTTACCTGTTGAAGGGTAGGAGAGAGACATTTTTCAAGGTGCTTAATCACTCTTGAAAAGTTATATTCTGGCTCACGGCATCTACGGTACTTTCCTTGCTTTAGAAGTTACGTGTTTTTCACAAACAAAATAAACACGCCTGAGTTTTTCTGTTTGTTGTATATGTTCAGCAATAGGAGTGGTCAAATATGAAAACAGAATAAGTTATCATATTTTGCATTGGGGAGCACAAATTGATTTCACATCTATTTTTAGATGTAACTATAGCCCTTTGCTCCACTCTTTTTAAAAACCAAAGCGGGAAGGGAGATATTCGCTTGCGACAAAGTGATTCTGTCCTTTGGTCTCATTTAAACAAATGAGAATTGGAGAGCTTTGATGTTGTTGTGAGAACCGGTGACAGTTTGCTGTCTGCAACAATCTTTTTTTATGAAGCGTGATGTGCAAAGTCAACAGCAAACTGTGGTTCTCCAGTTCTGACTCCCTCTGCTCTGAGTCTAACCCCAATCATGCTCCCACTGCTGCTGAATAAGCAACTTCCACTCCCCTTCAATTGATCTCTCGGCAAGCCACAAGGATTTTAATCAGGATCATTGGTCAGGGATCTGAATTGCAGGGGCAGGCTTCTTCATCACACTGAGGGACTGCAATATGAGTATGCCGCTGTTCAGGCATGACTGATTCAAACGCAATAAATTTTGGCTGCACTTTTTATTTCATCACAATGCTTTTTTTGGGTCTATTTTAAATTGCTTTAAATGGATACTACACCCAAAAATGAAGGTTCTCTCATCATTTACTCACTCTTATGCCGTCACAGATATACATGACTTTCTTCTGTGGAACACAGATGGAGATTTTTAGAAAAAGAATCCATCTCTGTGAGTCTATATAATGCAAATGGATAGAACCTTTAAAGTTGATGCTTCAAAAACGATATATGCGAGATCGATGGACAGGGAGAGAAAGGGGTTTGAGTGATAAATAATCAATATCTAACCTGATGAAAAAATATTTATTTAATGTTATCCACGTTATATTTGATCTGTAAGAACATTGTGAACTTTTATAAAGATATGTTTGGTCATTAACTTTTAAAAGCATTATTATGCAAACACATGAGGAGAATTGTCGGGATGAAAGACACACACTTAATTTCTTTCCAATATGGTAGGAAATTAAATCAAACGAAATGTGAATTATGTTAATTGTGACAAGATGATCGACAGGGCAGTTTAAACTGTGACAAGATGCATGTAACTAAGCAACAGAGCGGTCCGTTAAAGACGAAAATGACCCTTCTCAAAGCCCCGCCCCCTTTCGTTACCATTGCTATGTCTGACAAGCCATGGCACTCTCACGCCACACATCATATTCTCACGCAGTAAATAATACATTGTGGAGCAAAGAGGAAACTGACAACACACCGACAGACAAGACAGCAGGTTACTTTTGGTATGAAACAAAATCTCAGCTTTTCAGAAATTCAAACAATAAATACCATTTTGTGGCTCTTTAATGTGACTCGTGACAGATTGCTGTAGCACCTCAGTTCAAGCGGCACGTGAATTGATCATCTCTTCCTCTTTACTAGTTATCAATCGAAATAAACATGAATGAACATCAAAAGATTATCTTGTTTCAACCACAGAAAGACATCTATACACACCATTTTTTAAGTTCAAGACCGACTTTAATCTACTGCTGTCTGGTTTGTTTGTCAGACAAAACGGCAGATTCTGCATTTTGATTGGTCAGATCGCCTGTCAATCAAAGTCCAGGAAGAGTCAATTATGACTAAGTAGTATGTCCCAAAGCTTGCCTACTATTCTGCTACATAAAAGAGTACATACTTTTAGGGCATAGTATAAGTTGGTGAATTTGGACGCAGCGAATGTCTTCTGAAGTGAAATGATTGATTGACTTTTTTTTTAACAGACACTGATTCACTTTTTAGCTACCATCACTTCCGGCCAGTTGTCACATGCTCATTCATGAGTTCACGTTTGATGTACGGTAAACATCAGAGTTTCACAACACTCTCACGATACGCTTCACAACGTGCTGATGTTTAAGTCAAGTCTGATCTGAGTCTGATAGCTGGAAGCAATAGTTTATAGTTTAAAAAGTCAAAAATATTAGTGATTTTCTCACACACACCTACCATTTTGCTTCAGAAAACATTTATTCATCAGCTGGGGTCGTATGAATTACAGCCGTGTTTGTTTTATGTGTTTTTTTAAGCGTCAGCTTTGAGGGTTCCATCCACTTGCACTTTATGGACGCACAGAGATTGTTTATTTTTCTAAAATTCTCTGCTTGTGCTTTTTTGAAGAAAGAAAGTCAGATACATCTGAGCATGAGGGTGAGCAAATGATGAGAGAATTTTAATTTTTGGTTGGAGTATCCCTTTAGTGAAAATTGTCTTTCCTTCTCAGTTCACAAAATTACCAAAAGCAACCATTTCTTTGAAGTCATAATCCCAGACTTTGTCACCAGGCAGGGACATCATGAAGCAAGAGAGATGAGTTTTTGGCCAAGACCTGTTTAGAACAGATCATTTGTCACTGTCAGTACTGCAAACAAACTTCATGAAGTTGTTTGCTGTGCAGTGGCCATAAAGAGTCCACCCACAGATTGTATTTGGGTGATAACTTGGCATCACAACTTGTCAGGCCGGTACTATTCCTCCTCTGGCTCAGAGCAAAGCTACTTTGCACAGATTGTTTATTAGGCTATTTTTGACATTATGTGTTTGCTTTTGCATTACAGAGCTTGGATCAGTTTGGAAGTCTGTTCTTTTAGATGTCTGAGGGGACGGATAATGGGATGCCCAAAAGCCTGTGTCTGTCTTTTCTGTAATCATGAACATGCTCATTATACTTAATTCATGAACAAGTGCGAGTGTTTTTGAAATCGTTAATGGACCATCTATCTATGGACCACTTTGTCAACCAGACAAGAGTATTCACCAAGCAAATACTCAGAACAGAGGCTTTCAGCTTGTTAAAGGAAGTTCACACAGAGAATTGTCTCTTTCTGTCCTTTGCAGAATTACATGCCAAAACATGAACTTTGTATGAATAATAGAAATAGTTGTGTAGCCAAGAGGTAAGATTTGGCTTAGTAACTTATGGAGGACTATGACTGCCCCTTAAAAAGAACATGCAATCAATTAACTATCAATATTTTAATTAAAAAATAAAACATTAAATAAATACATTTTTCAAGTTGTCAAATTGATGTGTACTTAATTCATATTAAAATTGTGGTTGTGATAATAATTAATGAATTGCTAATCATTTAAATGGCATTGTTAAAGGTAATCAAAAGTCAATTTCATTATCGTTTTGCAAAATACTTTTCTTTTTTCATGTCAAGTTAGAAATTTGCAATTAAACAGTTGACACGTGAGAGCAACCAATGAATTTTCAGCTGCGTTTGATTTTTTATTCCTAATTTAAATGTGAATTTATTCCTAAATTTCAATTCAAAAATTGCATTTGATTAGATATATATATATATATATATGAATTTATGAAGTGTTTAACTTAATCATTATTTTTCATTATTTTATTTATTAATATCATTATCATTAAGAGCATTATTCCCTTCTGACATTGCATCTAAAGGAAATGCTTGACTTTGGCAGTCAGACAATAAAGAACAGGCTTTGATAGGTTTCTGAGTAGAAACAGGCATATGAGACTAGGGCTGGGTAAAAAATATCGATATCTCTATTTTAATCGATTCTCATTTTTATAGAATGATATCGATTCTTAAATCCCAAGAATCAATTAGTCTAGCCTGTGTTCAGTTAATGGACGGAACATTGAAGGGCACCTCCCATCTAATATATTGCAATAAGCATTGTGCTTTGGTACTTTTACTATGAAACAAAGTCTCAGATTTCAAATTCTATCCATTGTATTGCAGTATTCAAACAATAAATGCCATTTTGGCGCTGTTTAATGTGGAGTGACTGATCGGTGTAGCGTCTCAGTTCAACATACGCGGCAGCGCGAGGTGCACGTGAACTTATCATCTCCTCCACTTTAATACCAGTTTCAGCACAAAATAAACATGACTAAACATCTGAAGGTAAGTTAAAAGAAAGAGTACAACATTACAATCCGTATCCTGTCTCTTGTAATCGCTCAATCAGTGTTTCAGCCGCACAAAGACGTCAATATAACAGCTTGTAAACAATGTCACGTAACATCACATTTACCTCAGAAAAAAAAACATTCGGTGACCAAGAACTCATTAGTCAGCAAGAAAAATAAACTGTAGAAAGGGGCATGTTGCTAAATATATGCACCATATAACATGTTCATTATAATTTTTTACTGTTCTTCAGTGTTTAATTTATGTTTGAATAAATCCATCAAGTTTTTTGACAGCCCCCATTTAAATGTTTATTGCCTATTTAAAAAAAACGAATTGAAGTAAAAATATTATGTAATTGTAAATTTATTATTTTAAAAACTTCATTAAGTGTAATTTTAGCAGTTGTGTAGCCTAGAAATCAGTCAGTTTTAACCTTAAATATTATAGTAATGTAGCTAACGTTAGTACCAACTGACTCTCGTGTATATTTTACAGCATTAGTTGAGATTTTTTTTCCTTGAGAAAATTTGGCATGTAGCCTATTGTAGGCCTGTTTGAATAAATCCATCAAGTTTTTTGACAGCCCCCATTTAAATGTTTATAGCCTATTTAAAAAAAACGAATTGAAGTAAAAATATTATGTAATTGTAAATTTATTATTTTAAAAACTGTGTAATTTTAGCAGTTGTGTAGCCTAGAAATCAGTCAGTTTTAACCTTAAATATTATAGTAATGTAGCTAACGTTAGTACCAACTGACTCTCGTGTATATTTTACAGCATTAGTTGAGATTTTTTTTCCTTGAGAAAATTTGGCATGTAGCCTATTGTAGGCCTACCTGATATATATCCAAAATAATTGATATTGAATCGAATCACAAGCTTGTGAACGAGAATCGAATCGAATCGAATTGTGAAATTTGTGTCAAAACCCAGCCCTGTATGAGACAGTGTATACTAACCATCCTCTCTCTGATTTCTCTGGTTTGTGTCTGATGACAGGTGGGGAAACAAGCGAGTTGCAAATTGCAAGGGGAGAGAATAAAGCAATAATAAAGGATTTTAATCCCAGGAAGGAGTATTCAGTCAAGGTTATAGCTGTGAGTGGAAACCTGCACAGCCGAGCACTTCAGGGAAAATATACTGGTATGAAATACCTTTGTTTCTTTGAAGCAATACCACTGAAATGGACTGCAAGTGAAAATAATGTGTTTGATTTGTGGTCTCCTGTGTGTTTCAAGAAAACAATGAAAAAAAATTAGTGCCTTGAAAATAACATAGTATTTTACATAGTAAAACTGTGTATACAAAATATATAGGGCTTACATATTTAAGATTAAGTTTAAATATTGTTATTCATATATTGATATAAAAAATATGAGATGATCCTAACTGTATATTTAGTTTATGGTATACAAATTATGTTATACATGTTAATACATCCATGGCTCAGTATTTTGGACTTGAATTCCTTTTAATTCCTCATGTCTCTTCAGCAGAAGACCAGAGCAGTGATGGAGACACCACTCAGTCTCAAAGACTGAAAGAACCAGGACCTGTGGAAGAGGGAAATGAGATCTCAGGAGGTAATTTTTTTTAAAGGTTTGATCAGACTTTGCTCTTTTTTAGCTCAGGAGCCTTAATGGAGTTCTGAGGATTTTTCTTTTAAGTATCAACTGTGTTTCAGATGTTAAAAGTCTTTAGAAGAAATAAACATGTATATTATTTTACACATTAATCAACAATCCGTTTGCATTAGAAAATATAACTATTTTATAAATTGGTAATTTTGTTTGAATTCAGATGATTTGATTTGTAGGGAAATGTGTTATTTTCAGTAAAAAAAAAACTAAATCTAAACCTAACTGTCAGTGGGACGTAAGCAGTTAGCTCAGATCAATTTCTCACATCTTGAGAAAATTTTTTAGAAAATGCTTGAGTTCATTTGAAAATCTCAAATGTTTGATGGCAAACTTTGGTATGTTGAGATATTTGAACATACGATGTGAACACCTATTTGTTGTTGAAATTCTTGAGAAAACATACATGACTTTTTTTCTCAAGAGAAAACTCATTCAACACATGAAAATCTCCATTCACTCATTTCAGAGACAACTGAGATATTAAAAACATCTCTCTCGTGGTTTTTCTTTTCTGTGGGCTCTTCTCTTGTGGGTCTTCCTTTTCAATGTCGCTTTTTGCTTTTATCTACATTATAAGCTATATGAATTTCTCCATACGTTCTTCTGAGACTTATTATTGCTGTTTTTCCAGTGAGAGCTGCCCTCTTGTCAAGATATTTCAGCACTGTCAGTGATGTATAAGAACTGAAACTGGCTGAAGTTGCAGGGGGCATCTCTCTGTAGATCCCATCTCTGCTGGTTTTTATGTCCCTGGCATACTTGACAAAATGAGCATGTTCAGGAAGTCAAAGTCAAAGATGATGTTCCTGTCTGAAGGTTTCTGCTGATGTCTCTCAGGGCCAGATCTTAGTATCACAGCCCAGTCCAATATCACAGCAGTTTGTTACAATTCTGAGGGTATTATGTACACAAAGGAATATATACTGGATTTTTGACCCAAAATGCAATGTTGCAAAGTACAGATGAAACCGAGGAGGTTAAATGCAAGGGTAAGGTTACTGAGCTCATGGTTGATTGTGAAAGAGATGCATCTCCAGCCTTTCTCAGTTGGCTTTTTTGCTTGGCTCAAAAGAGAGATTCGGCTTTGTTTAGCCACAAACATTGATGTTTAGTGGGTGTAAAAACAGCCCAGGCTGCTTGGAGGCTGAAATGTGCTCTTGAGTGAAGCATTTAACTCGGATCCCTCTGTAGGACGGCAGCTTTTGTGCCACGTGGTCTCGCATCTGTTGTTCGCAATCTTTAATTTAGGACACCTCTGTGCGCCTTGCCAAATGGCAGAGGTTTGAAATTGGTATGGCGCACACAGATCTTAGCTGTCCTGTTTTCCTCTTCAGACTACTGTGAATGTTGGCAGGACTTGGCACACGGACTCCAAGTGGGTGGCTGAGCTCAGATTCTGTTCAGTTCTGTTAAGAATGACTGCACGCTTTGATTATGACTCGGCACTAATTTGATTCTCTGCTTAAGATCTCATTAGCGCAGAATAACAATGAGATAATATTTCAAAGCAAGAACTTGATGATGGGAATTGCCACAAGAGGGTTATCGCTGGCACAAGGCATATTCAGACAGATAGATGATGTCTTGCTGCCCGTGTGTGTGTGTGTGTGTGTGTGTGTGTGTGAACGCTGGTGGAATGGGATGGTGGGCTATCACAAAATTAGACTCTTCTTTGATGTGCCATCCCTGGGAATGTGTCCAAGCAGACAGAATGGAAGTAAATGGCTATCTGAGGATCCGTGCCATCACTGAGGGATGTGAAATGGCACTTTGAGCTCAACAAAAAGGTCACATTTTTATATCTCTTCCCAATCCTATTATTCACAAATGAGCATTTCCAGAAGCAAATTGAAAGGTGGCATAAACACAAAGCTGTTGCTTTTTATCTTCTGACCAAACACTTCTTTACTGGATGTCTGTAATTGTGATTCATGCTCAACATCTGTGGGTATATATGAGGCGAATAAAAAAACATTGCAGCCGGCTGTGTAAATTACAATTTTGCAGTCAAATGAACAAACAAACACTCAAATGGCAAGCGGTAATTCTGATATATGGCTAATGCACATTTCCTGGCTTTTAAGAAAATCAGTTGCTGCTAATTTATATTCATGAGCCATGAATACTTTTTTTTTCAGTACGACACAATTTTTAAAAAATTATTTTTAGAGAGATATTAATACTTCATATTCAGCAATGATGCATTAAATTGATTTTTATTAATAAAAAGGATTAAAAAATTAATTTCCATAAAAATAATAAGCACTAAACCTTAATAACAAGAAATGTTTCTTGAGCACTAAATTCAGCAAATTAGAATATTGGATCATGTGACACTGAATGTCAGACTTTTGGACCCGTTTTGCCTCCGTAGTTCTTCCTGTGTTTCCTTTTATGGTCTGTTTCCTGTTCTTGTTTAGTTTGATTACTTTATGATTCCATGCGCCTGTGTTCCCCTGATTGCCCTGTGTTTATAAGCCCCAGTCTGTTCAGTTTGGTTTGGTCGGGTCTACTTGTTGGATGTTCGTGACACTGAAGACTGAAGTAATGGCTGCTGAAATTGCCATCACATGAATAAATAAAATATATTAAAATAGAAAACAGTTTAAGTTGTAAGAATATTTCAAAATATTATTGTTTTGACGGCATTTTTGTTTAAATAAATGCAGCCTTGGTAAACATTAGAGACATAAGAATTTACAGTTGGAGAGAGAGCAGGAAATGAAGTGGGAGAGAGAGGAAGGTGGGATCAGGAAAGGATCTTGAGCCAGGACTCAAAATCAAGTTTCCCGAAGCGCAACCATGCCACATGTCAGAGCGTTGCCAACGAGGGCATCGGTTCCAAAAAACATAGGAGACCGTGCACCAGAAAGATTTGATCACACATTTGTTCAATGACTGTTTCTTCAGGTTCATTGTTACACAAATCAGGCAACAACTAAGAATCTTTTTTTTGCATTCTTTTTTTTGCCTTTATTTCGATAGTATGATTGCAGAGAGGAAAGAAAGTGAAGTGGGTGAGAGAGGGGGTGGGATCTGGAAAGGACTGCGATCCGAGACTCAAACTCAGGTCTCCCGAACCGCAGCTGCGCAGCATGTTGGTGTGCTGCCCACAAGGCCATCGACTCCAACACAAATGAGCATCTCATGTGTGTTTTGAGTCATTATTTGTTGACAACTGGAACAAGCTGACTCCTTTGAGTCATTGTTTTCTCCACAAATGACAACAAAGCAGATCTCCAACTTTTTGCGCATGATTTTATCAAGCTAGAGAAAAAATACAATATTAATAGCCAAAATGAATAAAGAGTTTCAAAAACGTCCGCATGCCCTTTTAATTATGTGTCATTTTTATTGCTCAAAATCTCATTCAGACACAAAGTCCGTCTTTGAATGCAGAAAAACAGTCACGTGCTTTAAGTAAAAATAAGTAGAGAATGATTTGTTCACTTTTAATATTCAGTCAAAAACACTGATTGAACACCTTTAATAAGAAAGTTCCGCTGTCTGGCCATGATAGTCTTTGTCTGGGCTTGCTGAAAAAGGCCATGGGGGTCAACGGTCACATCTGTTTCACACAAACCCTCTTCTCCCACCCTCCCTGATAATAGTAGGGGAAGAAAGGCCTGATAATGGTTTTTTCTGACCTTTTTTGTTAGAGGGCAGGGCACTGGAGTAAGGTGAGAGGGCTGTTATTTAGGAATTCAGTACCTGCAGCCACTGTAATCTAGAGAGAGATATCACTCCCTCAGAGAACCCAAGGTGACTGCATGGGGACAGTTTGCTTCACCTCAAATGACCCTATTTCTAATGAAAATCAACCTCACCTGATGGTATTTTTAATGTGTGATTTTTCGCAGAGGGAGGCGCTTTTAATAAGCGATCATTGGTGTAGAACATTTTTCTTGGAGGTGCTGTATAAGGTGCAGAGATGGCTGTCCTTTAAAGCACTCTGCTGCCCTGCATTAGGGTGTACGACGTACTGGGAATGCTAATAATGTCTATTTTGGCTCAGGTGGCAGTTTGCTGAGGTAGGCAGTGATAAGGACACCACTCTGGATCTTCCTCACAAGGAGGAAGGAGCGCCAAGACTTTCTCTGAAGGAGACTTTCGGAGTGTGACTTCTTATCAGGCCCCACGGCCCGCTGGTGGAGAGAGCCAATAGGCAGAGCATTTGGCTGCGATGAAGCAGCACATCCTATTGCAGATAGGCCATTTTTCGGCGTGAGTTGAACTATGTCTTAAAATTTGAATGCTGCTCAGTTGTGCTGTACATATCTTCCTGTTACTACTTAAACACAGGCAGTGATTGGTTGTTAATCGGACAATCAAAGAATATTGATCAAGGACGCTCTCAAACATGGTCACAGTGATTTTTACAGTATTGGTATCACAGAATACCAATAAATCTTCTTAATTAAATAAGGAGCTGTGTTTAAACGCATATTAGTTAGGATATTATTTTTTGTTTTGGTAAAGACATTTTTGTATTTAATAAATAATTTAATTATGTTTAAATAATTGTATTTAATAATAATAATAATAATTATTATTATTATTATTGGCAATCATGAAATTTCACTCATTCAATTTTATGATTTTGGTTCTAATTCCTCTTAACAATTAGATAAATAAGATTATAATTAATAAGATACTTTTATTATTTATGAGGATAAAATATTCTTTAAAAAAATGAAATACCATAATTTGGATAATAAATACACTTTATAATATTCTTGAAAAGAAAAAAAAAACTAAACAACAAACAAACAAAAAATCTTTCATTCATTAATTTTTATAATATGCCACTTACTAAACACCCAAAATGTGCATCTTTAACATATGAACAGATTAGTATCTACACTGATTTAATCCTCAAGTTAGTTTTGTAAAGCTATATGTGTTAGATTCACTAAAACTACTCATAAGAGTCATTTGTTCAG